ATAAATACTTTTGAATTGCTACATAAAGATTTAAATTAATTCCATATCTATTAACTCTTGCATGACTGCTTTCGGATACATTTGTATTATGTGAAGTTGAATACCATATATCAATTGGAATTTTAGAATTTGCTAACAAATTAGTCATTGATGAAGCATTGTACTCATTTGAAAACGAAACAGGTTCTAAATTTAGTGTCAGGTGAGGTCCTTCATTATGTGAAGAGCGTTCAATCTCTCGCTCTATGCAATGATTAATTGTGGAAGGAGACTTGGCAGTGGATGACATATTATTACTGCTATAAGTTGCATTCGTCGGATATTTAGCTAACTTTGTTTATGCTGTGCTGCCACTAAAAATTACACAAAAAAAGAAATAAAAGGATTTAGAAATGATCTCTAACTTTAAATATTTAAATAAAGGATTTAGAAATAATCATCTAAGCTTTTAATATTTAATCTGTATAATCAACTTAGAAACTGATTTTAAATTTATAATGAGCGAAGAAAAACTTTATAGCATGCAGATTGATGCGATTGATGGTAACTTGAAATATGAACTCATAGAAAACGGCAGAAATGTAATACTCGATAAATCGTGCAAAAACGTGTCAAATTTGGATTACACATGTAAATTATCATATTGCAGTATTTAAATTTTAAATTATGTTATCGTTAATATTATAAATATTTTTATAAATATTGTTAGTTCTTGGTTATTCAGAAAAATTAGAAAAACATTTAAGAGATTTCAACATAAAAAGCTTTGATTATTCGAAATTTAACGAGCATAAAATTATTGGAAAGGGAGAGACAGCGACTGTATATTCTGCACGTTTTCAAGGAAGAACCTATGCATTAAAATGCATAAACAATAACTTATATATGAATGATAATACGTTCACAAAAATTAAACGAGAGGTAACATATATTATTATGACATATAACAGAAATAGTCTTAATATTTGATTTTCTGACTCAAAAACTAACTGACTTATATCAATGCATATAGCTTAAATTTCTTTATAATGCCTGTCATCCTAACATTATCAAATTCTATGGATGATGCTACGTCTTTAAAAAATTTATTTATTAGAAATGATAAAATTGAATTGAAAAAAATTTTTGCGAAAATATAAAAGCCTATAATAATATTTTTGCATTCACTTCAATATGTTAAATTAGATAAGCTAGTTGCAAATAATAAAATTTTAATTTATATATATATATATATATATATATATATATAGTATATATATCTATAACCAACTTTTTTATAAACAAAAGCAAGGTTTATATATTTTGAATAAGAAATAGGATATATCATTCTATAGGGTCTCTTCTACTATTAGATAGAATACCAAAATTTCTTCAATTATATATTTATAATACTGAATTTAAAACAGAAAACAAACTTTCTATAATACCTAAACTCTGTTGAAGTACTCTAGAATTTATTAAATTGTTATTAGACGATTTAAACCCTTTTGTAGCTAATTTTCACTTAATTTCTTCAAATAATAATATAACTAATCTTCACTTAGTTCAGTAGTTATCAGGGCTAACCATAATTTAGATTAACATATTTATAACAAACCAGTAGCTTTACAAGTTACTGCTATATAGGTAGAAGGTAATGATTATATAAGTTGAACTAAATGTGATATAATAGTACAATTACAATTACAAAACTTGCAAAGAGTATCTGAATTGAGCAGATCATATAATCCTATACAATATCCACTTCTCTTTCCCCAAGACAACTATAGTTGGTATTCTAATATTTATCAAAATATGTTTACTGAAAAAGTTACTGCTAAGCAATATTATGCTTACAAACTTTACTTCTAAGAACCTTCCTTATTGCTTTTTTTAAGTAGTTAGCTTTTCTAACAATATATTGTTGACAATTATATCATAATAGAATCTGCACATTTTAATTATTTATGGTTTATGCTATATAAAATCTGCAAAGAATATTAGTAGGGTTTACAAGACTCATTCCATTCAGGATTAACAAATTTATCAGAAGTAGGATATTATGTTTTTTTGCCCCCATCCTTTATTAGTGAACTATGTGATAAGTATTAAAAATATCAAGATACAATAATATTAGTACAAACATATAAAAACCTAGATATATTCATAATAATTATATGTAATTCTCAATAGTATGAAATCATATCAAAACTAATGCCAATGCAAACTTTACAAAACAGACTAGACCTTCAAATAAAAATTTGATTTTATATTAAAATTAAATATATATATATATTTTAAAAAATAGGTGTGGCGACTTAGTGAAGTGGTGGAGTTGTCGCACCCCAGACGGCAGGTCTAGAGTTTGAATCCCACAGATGACGTTTTCGAAAAAATAACTCTGTGATATGGTTAATGGCTATTTGATGATTGGTAGGATCTAGAAATCTGTAATCTCAGTCACACCATCTAGAATGGGAGCTTTGGCGTAATAAATCCTAGATACCGGAAGAACCAAAAACCCGTTTGGCAAGTCCCGAGTTGGGAGGTAGTACGATCTTCGACAGTACTACAGGAAGACCGAATTTGAAACCGGAGACTGAGATCGGAGAACCGAGCGACCAGGTCCTTGAAGGGGGGACACACCAGCCGAACCGCCGGGTCGCC